ATGGCGGTCCCTGCGGTCCCTGCGGTCACTTTTTACAGAGTTCCCCGCCCCCCCGCTCTTGTGTTCATCCTGCCGGCGTGTTGACAAGAGCGAGGCTTACAAACACCCGCTCCACTACAGCCTTAATAGCGTTTCAAGTGTTTTCTCTGGACCGTGGAAATCTGCGGCTGAACAACACGCCGGCGTGGACGTGAAGGGGGCTGAAGGAGCCGCCGATTGATGATGGCAGGAGCAGGCGTCCCCAGATAACAGCGGCGAGTCGACCCGCAGAGTCTGACGCTTTTTAATGATCATTTCATTCAGATTAGAGACGAGGAGCGAGCGGACGTCCTCACGGAGAAACCACCGCCAGCTGCTCAGGAACGCCGTACGGAGGCCCAGAGTGGTCCGACGGAGAACCTGAGTCAGAAAATGAGAATCAACCAAAGAAAATCTGAGACGAGAATAAAATCAGAGTTAAAATAAAAAAGAACAAACAGAGTTTTAATAAAGTCGTCAGAAAAAAAAAAACGTCTGTTTGGGTAAAAATCAAGAAAAACACTTTAAAGTTTCTGAAGTTCTTCTTTAACAGACCATGAAACTCTGTACGGAGGCCCAGAGTGGTCCAAGAACCTAAATCCAGTTTAGTCCAGATTAGTCTAAATCCAGATCCCCATAGTCTTCAGTCCTGAACCCAGAGAGGACTAGAGAGTCAGATCTTCATCATCCAGAGTGACGTTTGAAAGGACCTGTCCCCAGAGAGTCCTTAGACCAGGACCTGCTGAGGGTCTTTCTATCGTTGACGGGATCAGAGTCCGGAATCATCTAAACGCCGAGTCATGTTAGAGAAAGTACAGAGTCATGGTCTGAGGGTTTAATGTCGTTAACCGTCGTCCTGAGCCACGACCGCTCTACCTCCTGAGTTAGACCGCTCTACCTCCTGAGTTAGACCACTCTACCTCCTGAGCCACGACCGCTCTACCTCCTGAGCCACGACCGCTCTACCTCCTGAGCCACGACTGCTCTACCTCCTGAGTTAGACCGCTCTACCTCCTGAGTTAGACCGCTCTACCTCCTGAGCCACGACCGCTCTACCTCCTGAGTTAGACCGCTCTACCTCCTGAGTTAGACCGCTCTACCTCCTGAGCCACGACCGCTCTACCTCCTGAGTTAGACCGCTCTACCTCCTGAGCCACGACCGCTCTACCTCCTGAGTTAGACCGCTCTACCTCCTGAGCCACGACTGCTCTACCTCCTGAGTTAGACCGCTCTACCTCCTGAGTTAGACCGCTCTACCTCCTGAGTTAGACCGCTCTACCTCCTGAGTTAGACCGCTCTACCTCCTGAGTTAGACCGCTCTACCTCCTGAGCCACGACCGCTCTACCTCCTGAGTTAGACTGCTCTACCTCCTGAGTTAGACCGCTCTACCTCCTGAGTTAGACCGCTCTACCTCCTGAGCCACGACCGCTCTACCTCCTGAGCTCCTGTCACCCCTAAAGTCTACGATATTTTGATCTCTCCTCTCACTCCTGTGGCTGTTTCTTTTTTTTAACTCCTTTGATCCTCGGACAGATCTCCTCTCGCTCTTCTGTCGTCCTCCTCCTCTATCGGCTCCTCTGTCTGGAAAACTCTGGAGCTCCTCAGGAGTTCCTCGCTGATCTTTGAGGTTCTCTCTCCTCTCAGATCCTGATCGAGTGGTTGTTTGTCCGGCGGACGGCGAAGGCCTGGTCTCTCTCTCTCTCATTTCATCGTCACATCAATAAGCAGATAAATCTCTCTCTCCCTCCCTCTCTCTCTCTCTCTCTCCCTCCCTCCCTCTCTCCCTCTCTCCCTCTCTCTCTCGCTGCTTCAAACACTCGCTGACCTTCAGCTCTGCCTCTCTCGTCGTCGTCGTATCGCCCGTGAATATAAAAGCTTATTAGCTCACAACGTTGTTGATTCGTTTGTTCGGAGGCGGCGCACTAATGAGGCGTTGCAGGATGCGGGCCGACTCTACTCTTCTTTTTCTCGCCATGCAGAGGAGCGGGAAACGCCGCTAATGGCGTCTCCTCCGCCATCATAAAGAGAGATGAAGTGCAGTCTGACTTTAACATATCAAAGAGAGGAGACGAGGAGGTCCAGGAGAGGAGGACACGTGATGGACGGGTACGGGAGACGCAGAGAGACAAAGAGACAAACAAACAGTCAGAGAGATAAAGAAGGAGCTGTTCAAACAGAGAGGAGGAGGAGGAGGAGAGGAGGAGGAGAGGAGGAGGAGGAGGAGTAGGAGGAGGAGAACACATCATCATCTCAGATCCACACTGTAAAAGAGGAGGTCCTAAAAACCCGATGGATGATCTTGTCGATGCAGCAGGATCATCATGAAGATCATTGATCCTGATCATGTTCACAGACGTGTTTGTAAGATCAAAGACAGACACGCTGGTTGAAGGTCAGATTATTCAAATTTAACTTTGTTTAAATCTAAACCATCTCATCAACACGCCGACCTTCAGGCAGGAAGTGGGCGGAGCTTTAAATCTAGATGGCGGTGCGTTCACGTTACAGCGTCTCACAGGTGTGATGTCAGAGCTTTCAGCCAATCAGCAGCCAAGTCCTGGTCTGATCAAGGTGAGTAATGAAATAATAATCAATAAAAATGATCATAATTATTGATCATTAATATCATAATGATGCGTCAGAATGATTGATTTTCCCTTCAGGAGTTTTCGAACCGTCAACCTCTCAGTCATTAAACGACCTCCTGACCTCCTGACCTCCTGACCTCTGAACTCTAAACTTCAGAGACGCACTGACAAACTGAGGGACGGCGTCCGCAGCCTCTGCCACAGACAGGAGACACCCTTCATCATCAGACCGTCCTCTCACTCTCCTCCTCTCTCCTCTCCTCTCTTCTCCTTCTCCTCTCCTTTTCTCCTCCTCCTCCTCTCTCCTCACTGAACCCCCCCTGAGGACTGAGTCTTTGCGTCTCTGAGCCGTTTGGAGACTGTCACAGGAGGGACGCCACCGCCTCTGAGGGGGAAACGTTTCCACTTTGTTGTGTCAGCGAACGGCGAGCGCTCTGTGGGGAGGGGGGGGGGAGAAAGAGGGAGAGAGGGAGGGAGAGAGGGAGGGAGGGGGGTGGAGCTGTACATCAGAGCTCCAAATACTGGATCAGCTCGGGCCTGGACTCAGTTTTTTGAAGGCTCGCCGTGATGGCGGTGCCCTGGAAACGCTCTGATACTCTGGTTTGGGGTGAGGCGGGGACATGGGGGAGACGGGGGACATGGGGGAGACGGGGGAGACGGTCTCCAGAAAAGGAAATGAAAACATCTTAATTGTTTCCCAGCAGAGTTTTTCAAAAACATCATAATCTTGGAGAGTTCGGCGAAGTGCTGACGTCCTCAGAAGCAAGGCATCATGGGAATTCTTTATTCGAGGGACATGTGTAAAAAAAACTGCGTTTATCCGTGATGGAGAGAATAAAAACGACAGAAGAGTCAGCTGAGAGTTCAGTCCATCAACACTGACATGGAGAGCAGGAGAACCCCGCTGCATTGTGGGAAATGAAGTTCAGAGTGCTGAAACCTCAGAGTTCGTCAGTGAGGCTTTAATTAATGAGGAAACACTTTAATCAGCAGATTTACCAGGATATGAAATATTAAAATATTTAAAACAGTTTTTTTTAAATATTAAAATATTTAAAACTGTTTTTTTTAAATATTAAAATATTTAAAACTGTTGATTTTATATATTAAAATATTTAAAACTTGTTTTTAAATATTAAAATATAACAGTTGATTTTAAATATTAAAATATTTAAAACTGTTGATTTTAAATATTAAAATATTTAAAACTGTTGTTTTTAAATATTAAAATATTTAAAACTTGTTTTTAAATATTAAAATATAACAGTTGATTTTAAATATTAAAATATTTAAAACTGTTGATTTTAAATATTAAAATATTTAAAACTGTTGTTTTTAAATATTAAAATATTTATAACAGTTGATTTTAAATATTAAAATATTTATAACAGTTGATTTTAAATATTAAAATATTTATAACAGTTGTTTTTAAATATTAAAATATTTGTAACTGTTGTTTTTAAATATTAAAATATTTAAAACTGTTGTTTTTAGTGTAAAAACGTGTTTATTGTCTCTTTATCTTGACTGTTCTGTTTGTTGATCTTTTTACCGTATTTACTCTGAAGTTACTCTGATAAAGTCTGTTAAAGTGGGGAGGATTATCACAGTATTTACGGTATTTATGATATTAAATTATTGATCAGCAGATTCCAACATGCTGGGTCCTTGAAGGTTTGGGTCCTTGAAGGTTTTGGTCCTTGAAGGTTCGGGTCCTGGAATGTTTGGGTCCTTGAAGGTTTGGGTCCTGGAATATTTGGATCCTTGAAGGTTCAGATCCTTGAAGGTTTGTGTCCTTGAGTCCAGGGTCCTTGAATATTTGTGTCCTTGAGTCCAGGGTCCTTGAATATTTGTGAGGTATTTTGTTTTTAAAGGAGGTTTTGAGGATGATGACCCTCTGGATCGTCTGTTTCTCCAAAGTTCTGGTTCTGGTTCTTTAACGGTGTTGGATCAGCTGTTCAGTCTGACGGAGGCCCTCAGGTCTGCGCGCGCACACACACACACAGGTGCCGCCCCCCTTTCTCTCTAATTGGACCTAAATTTAGTCCCAGATTCTGGTTCCTCCTTCAGTCGAAACCTCGCAGGCAAGTCCCCCCCCCCCCCACACACACACACACACACACACACACACACACACACACACACACACACACACACACACACACACCCCTCCTGTCGCTGGGGAATAGATGAACTATTCCATATGTCAGACCTGTCAATCACTCTCTCTCGCTCTCTGTCTCTCTCTCTCGTTCGCGCTTTCTCGGTCGCGCGCTCCCCCTCCATTTCCGGTGAGTGTCGGCGGTGTAAAATGGCGCCGAGTTTGAATCTTCTCACCTGTCTTCATGTCCTCCACCTGTCCTCCACCTGTCCTCCACCTCTCCTCCTCATGTCCTCCTGTCTTCAGGCTCAGGTAAGACAGTTCCGGTTCATGTTTGTCTGAAAACTTTAATTTAATTCGGACTTTTTCTGAGTTTTTGGGAGGAAGGAGACCGCCGAGACGAACCCTGCGACTCTCCGCCATCTTGTCCGGATATTCGTTCGTGTTTTTTATAACCGAGCTGCTGTCCGTGTCTGTGACTGTGTCCGTGTCTGTGACCGTGACTGTGTCCGTGACCGTGTCTGTGTCCGTGACTGTGTCTGTCTTTGACCGTGTCCGTGACTGTTTCTGTGTCTGTGACTGTTTCTGTGTCTGTGACTGTGTCCGTGTCTGTGACTGTGTCTGTCTTTGACCGTGTCCGTGACTGTTTCTGTGTCCGTGACTGTTTCTGTGTCTGTGACTGTGTCCGTGTCCGTGACTGTTTCTGTGTCTGTGTCCGTGTCTGTGACCGTGTCCGTGTTACAGCCGCTTCAGTTTGTCCTCCAGGACGAGTTAAACCTGTTTTTGTGTTTGTGAAAGTTGAACCTCTCCTTCAGCGGCTAATTAAAAAGGGGGCGTGTCTGTCAGGTGTGCGGGTGTCCTCGAGGACACAGGTGTGCATGTTTTTAGACACCGGAAGTGTCCTTCAGAATAAAACACGGTGAGATGAAGTGTGGTGACTGTGGAGACGTGAAGAACAAACAAACACAATCACTCGCCTGTGGGGGCGCTATTTTTATACGATAGTAGGGGAAGGTCCCGCCTCCTTCGCCTCTGATTGGATAGAAGTTCTGGGCTCCCATTCTGTCGGGTTAGGAGATTCAGAGTTGGGATAATGTACGGAGGCTAAGAAGCGCCACTGCTGCAAATAAAAAAGAAAAGGAAAAAAAAACCAACAATGGAAGTTCCTGGTGAAAAAAAAGAACTGAAGATAAAAAAACAAGTGGTGATGAAAAAGAAAACTTACTGTAAAAATAAAAGGATGCAAATAAAAAAAGCCAAAATGTCTTTGTGTGTAGATCGTAGAACACCGGTGCATCATCATTATTGGTCCCCGACAGATCACTCCTGTATTTTTTTTTTGTTTGCCTTCTTTTATTTTTGCAGTTAGTAACTTTCCTTTTTTTTCCATTGCTACTTTTTTTTTTGCATCGTTAACTTCCGTTGTGGATTTTTTTTTTTTTTTATCTGCACCATTTTTTTTTTATTTGCAGTCGGCTTCAGTTTCTTTTTTTGCATCATGAACTTCCGTTGTGACTTCTTCTTTTTATTTGCAGCAGTGGCAGTTCTCAGCCTCCGTACAATAATGTTCTTTTACGTTCTGTTCGATGTACAGAGCTGACAGCCTGCGCGCGGCTTGGGTGTATGATGACGTTTCCAGCCAATCAGAGGCGGAGGAGGCGGGACCTTCCCTTACCATCCTATGAAGAAAAACTATGGCGACACAGTGGCGCCTTAATTGGCGGCGTCCATGGAGGTGTTAGCAGCTGCTGAGGGCGGAGCTTGTGTGGAGGTTAGTGTCTCTGAAAATGTTGAGGAGAGAATCTGAGAAACTGTCAGTCTGCAGGTCTGAGGTGTCACAGGGTATACACACACACACACACACACACACACACACACACACACACACACACACACACACACACACACGTATATATATGATACATGCCCCCCCCCCTCTCTCTCTGATTGGTCGTTCTGGAGGATGACTCTGGTAGCGGGCGTCGTCGATTCTGACACAGTTGTACAAACATGGCGTCTGTTTTTTTCCCGGATGGATGTGGCGAGCTCTGTCAGGACGTCCGTTATAACTCACCGACTGAAGTTCTTCCATGTAATCAAGGTTACGGCACATCGGCTTTATCTGCGGCGAAGAAGAGCTCCTTTCAGCCGTAAATTTCTTCTTCTGATGGTCGGGCTGACGTGACGCCGTCCAGAAGGCTCTTATTGTAATGAATCCATTTTTCATAATCCTGCCGATGGTCGAATAACGGGCTGAGACCTGATTGATTAGAGCTCACACAACATCCATAAAGGACACAAATCACACTAAAAGCTCCGTGTAAACAGGACCGAGCGAAAGGCCAAGGTTCCTGTCTCTGTGTTTGGTCCGTCTACGGCGGCGAACTTCAGGTTTCTGTAAACCAATCAGCTGAGACGCCGTGGTCTGGTTCAGACAGTCCCTGTTTAAAGGGTTTCTCAGATCCAGCACCTGTCTGTCTCTCAGCTGTTAGACGGTTTCTTCTGTTCCCCTGAAGGCCTGAACTGTGTGTGTGTGTGTGTGTGTGTGTGTGTGTGCATGCGTGTGTGTGTGTGTGCGTGTGTGTTAGGAGTAATAATAATGAAAATAATTATGATACTACCACTACTACTAATAATAATAATAGTAAAAACAATATAATAATAATAATAATAATAATACAAATAGTTTAATATTAAATAATGATAATAATAATAGTAAGAACAATATAATAAAAAATAAAAATGGTGATAGGGGTTAAAATAATAAAAGAAATGATAATGATTATTAAATA